GGGTCCCGCCGAGCGGCCCTGGGTGCCCTCGCGCGGGGCGGCCGGGGGCTCCCCCGGGCTGGAGGCCCTGGGGCTGGGGAGGCCTTGCCTGGAGATCACCAGTCCTACATCTTGCGTTTGAATTTTCATTTTATTCCTACTAAACAAAGATAAAAGGTGTAATTCGCTACAGTTTATGTTTTCTGTATCACTGCTGACAGCTGAAAACAACAGATACCAAGCAATAGTTGCCTGCAACTGCCATTAATGTGTCCTTAGAGCTGTCACAAGATCACTTTGGGATTTTTTTTCCACTGATCCCTCAGCATTCAAGCTCAGTACAATTCAAAAATAATCTCAAGTCTTTCTTCTGGAAAACAGACAACTAAAATTTATCTTAGTTGCCCTAGTTGCTTGTTTAAAAGGCAAATTTTGCACAGTAGGACTTGATAATACCTGAGTTGTAACTGTTTGTACTCTGCTTTTGAGGGTTTTTTTCCCCTCTAACTGATAAGCCTTGCCAATATCTGAGCTTGCAGAATATCAAGAACATCAAAGAATTTTCAGTGAAAATCAGTCTTTTAATAACACATAGGCGACCTGAACTACATAACAAGCAACCTTACTGACAAAGGATGTGCTGTGTTTGCTTCTCCGCTCCTGAGTGCTCCTTGGGATTGCGCCAGGGAGGTCTGAGGTTCCTGCAGTGGGCCTTTCTGAGGCATAGGGAATAGTCTGTCCATTCAAAATGAAATTATTTTAAAATTCCAACCCTTTTTATTTGACTATCCCCATATTTTTCTGTTCTCTGTAGTGTTTCAAGCAGATTAGTATGTGTGATTCATAACCAGCCATAGCAGAAATTATTCTGTGGGTGGCAGTTGTCTTTAGCCAAATTAGCCGTATAGCCCAATTACCTCCATTCAAATACTAGTTTTAATCATCTGTCTAGACAGCCCAAACATACAGGTGTCCCTGCCACATCCAAGCATCAAGTGTACAAAATGTTAGTGTACAAAATGTTCCATCAGGAATTCAGAGGTGTTTCAGTATCAAAATCCTCAAGTTGTTAAATCCTGTTTAAAAAGGTAGTTTATGTAGTTTAAAATATAGCATCTCCCAGACCACAACTACGTGAGAAGTATTAACAGTATTAACATAACAATAATTACCCTGTTTTTGAAAGAAAAGCATTTTACAGTTTATTATTTGTTTTAACAGTGGTTACCCACGAGTGTATCCTGTGTGTTATCACTACACGGTGCACAGCCACCCCAAGAAGGCCTTGCTACTGCTGTCACTTTTCCTCCCTGCTTTGCCTTACCAATGAATTTATCTCACAATGTGAAGTCTTGCAAATTGCCATATGATTTCGATATCTGGACAAGAGTCTTATTTATTCTACATGCGTGAAGTTAAAATTGACCAATGGATTTAAACCTAATAACTGTGTGAAATCAGAATCAGACACTGTTTGCATAACAACGCTAAGTAGTACTGAAAACAGTTTGAAAAGCAAAATAATACTAGGCCTGCAATATGGACTTGTTCTGATAGCGTCCTGGTGAGGCAGGGGAAATGAAAGCACTAAAGGTAAACAATTAAAATGTTTGTGTTTTTATGTGTGTGTATGTATGTAGGGACAAACACATACACATATACCTTATATATTTGCATGTATTTTATGTATATTTTACTATATTAAAATATTTTGTCTTAGGCAACTGTGGAGCAGGTTCTCAGCACTGCTGCTGCTGTTGCTGTTGCATTGACTGGGGTTTATTTTGGAAGCTCCTCATTCAAGGCACAATTGTGAAAGCAGGTGAGGTAAACATTAGTTATTGTCATTATTTTTTTTTATTGATTTTATGCCCAAAGGTGACATGCACTTAAGCATCCTGGTTAGGCTTTTGGTTTGGTGGTTCTATAAATGCATGTGCAGCATGGAGCACGGAGGAGCGATGGAGCTCGGGACATTTGCTCCAATCTGCCCATTTACTGGGCTCCTCAGAATTCAGTTTAAAGTTTTTTTTTCATCAGACCAATTGTAGACACAGACTAGTTGGAATCATAGAATCATAGAATGCTTAGGGTTGGAAGGGACCTCTAGAGATCATCTAGTCCAACCCCCCTGCACACGCAGGGACACCTAGAGCACGTGGCACAGGACTGCATCCAAGCAGGTTTTGAAGATCTCCAGAGAAGGAGACTCCACAACCTCTCTGGGCAGCCTGTTCCAGCGCTCTGTCACCCTCACTGTTAAGAAATGTTTCCTTAAGTTCCTGTGGAACTTTTGGTGCTTCAGTTTGTGGCCATTACCTCTAGTTCTGTTGGTGGCCACCAGTGAAAAGAGGCCAGCACCATCCTCCTCACTCCCTCCCTGCGCTGGACTCTCTCCCGCAGCTCCACATCTCTCTTGTACTGTGGAGCCCAGAACTGGACACAGTACTCCAGATGCGGCCTCACCAGGGCTGAGTAGAGGGGCAGGATCACCTCCCTCGACCTGCTAGAGATGCTCTTCTTAATGCAGCCCAGGATCCCATTGGCCTTCTTGGCCACGAGGGCACACTGCTGCCTCATGGTCAGCTTGTCGTCCACCATGACACCCAGGTCATGCTCTCCAGAAGGTTGGTTCCCAGCCTGTACTGGTGTCTGGGGTTATTCCTTCCCAGGTGCAGGACCTTGCACTTGGCCTTGTTGAATTGCATGAGGTTTTTCACCGCCCAGTTGTCCAGTCTGTCCAGGTCCCTCTGGATGGCAGCGCAGCCCTCTGGGGTATCGGCTACTCCTCCCAGTTTTGTGTCATCAGCAAACTTGCTGAGGGAGCACTCTGTGCCTTCATCCAGGTCATTGATGAATAAATTGAACAGGACTGGACCAAGGACCAAGATTGTTGTTCCAGTTTCTAATGTTCAGTTTGTTCAAACTTGTATTTCTTTTTATCCAATTGGTTATAAACAAAACAATGGCAAATTAATAAGTATTACCTCAATGTCTGTCTAGCAAGACAAAAAAAAACATAATCCTTCTCACCCTATACCCTTTGTTTTAACTTGTGGGCACTGTGTTCTTAATATTATTCTAGGGTTATTCTGCTTTGCCCCAGTACTGCCTGTGCCGCTCTTTCCTGCTTATTTGTCCAGTTTCAAGGTTTTAAATCTACTTAAATAAGTACTATTCTTGACAGTGAATCTATGAAGCATTGTGTATAAGCCTCAGAGCAAGTGGTTAGTATTTAGTGATGTAATGTGGCAAGATCCAAGACTAGTTCAAGACTAGACCTCAAATGTGTTTTATTTCAATTTATGTAAATACGTTACCAGATTTTCTTAATACAGCCAGTGAGAGTAAGTCTGCAAATAATGTGTTTTCTTAATGAGAGTTTTTGAGCCAATGAAGGCACAGATAATCTCATTGTGCCATCCAGACCTCGTGTTAAATTTCATGAGATTTTAGAGAAGTCATGTGTAATACTTTCCTGTGGGTTGAGCACACTTATATTACAGTTGTACAAGGTCAGACCTTAATTTAACTAGCAACTGTGTATTTAATTTTAGAAATATCACAGGACACCTCAGCTTGCAGGGCGCTATTCCTGGCTGTTCGAAAGGCAGGCCCAAGAGTAACAGTGACAAGATAATGGGTTGAAAAGGTGAGAATTTGCTATGCTCGCCAATTTGATTAGTACTGAAATACTTTGAAACTGTAAATAATAGTTAATATACTGAATCCAAATTTAGACTGTTATTAATTATTTTATTGTTACGAATAACCTCTTTGGGACTGCATGCCTAAGGGGCTTCTATTTATAGAGAGCTAAGCTAGGATTGCCTAGTTTATTTTAAAGATAAGATTTAGAATAACATTAATGCTCACATAACCTTAATTTTTTATCTGTGTGTTTAATAGTGATAAATCTTTGACACGCTTCTCTCTACAGAAAGACCCAATTTTCCATGATTAGCAAGTATTTCAGACCTTTTGCAATGAAAACAAAAGTAACTTCAGGAAAACCGAAATCTTTTTTAGGAAAAACTGAATTTCTGTTTCACGGTAAGTATGCCAATAATACCAAGTTAAGAGCAACAAGTAACTATTTTTTTTTTAGAAAAAAAAAAAACAAAATCAGAAAAAGAACACCGTACTCAAAATGTGTTTACAGAAAAATAGTCTTGGTGATACAAAGACTAAAATTTGTTTGGAGTAAGCATTTCCAGTGGTTTCTAATGATCTAGTATTTTGCAGTGGTCAAAAAAACCCCTGATTTTCCATGAGCAAATGAAATAAAATTTTGCTACTGAGCATTTTAACTTTTTCACTGCTACCTCATGCAAGAGAGATGTTTGTACTGCTGCTCAGTGTTCCAGCCACTGTTCTATTCCTCTGTGATCCTGGTGGAACATCCACACTTCATTTGGATCTTGTCACCTCAGCACAGCGTATTACCAGCAGTGATATAGCAAATCAAGCTCCCAAAGCATTTCTAAACCTCTAGTAATGTGTCCAGCACTTGTGCTATGATGAGCTATTTGCTTTATCATATTTATTCTACCATGTCACAGTCACTTTCTACCTTCTTTTTCCATTTTATATATTCCATATATATATATATATTTTTTTTTTTCTGTGGGATAAAGTATCTTGAAAACAGTACATACAACATTACGAAAGCAGTCCTAAACTGAGGTTTTCTAGCTAAGTGTGTATGTGAGCAGAGCTCGGTACTTGCTCTGGCATAGTCAGTTATGGGACATACAGCAAAGAGGTACTTGACCAAATAGGTAAGAAAGCTATAAAACCAGCAAAAAAAATGTATATGATGAGCTGTTAACTATTTTGTTTTTATAATCCTTCAGAGATGAGGAGGTAGGCAGGCAATATATGTTTTCCCATAAGACATGGATTTTCTTGATAAATTTGTAACTAGGGTTGTCGTGCAAAATGCTGTCTGCTCTTATCCCTTTTAGGAATCTGTGAAGCTAGAGGGTATTCATCACCTCACAAGTTTAAACCTGTTACAAAATGTTAGGAACATTTATGAATAATAAAGTAACAGGAATATACCAAATATGCTATGATGGACTATAATGAACTTGATTCACTTATGGACTGCAACTTTAGGAGGGCTTGTGGATTATGGAAGTTCACCCGTAAGGATGCAGTTTGTCCTGTTTCATAAGCAGGATGCTTCACAAAATTCAGCAACACAAAGGGAGAGCATTAAAAATGCACCAATATTGCAAACAGAAGGTTTTCTAAAAATAAAAGGTACCAAAAAAGGGAAAAAATTAGGTTCTTTTTAGCAAGAAACTTGTAACATCATTTAGAAAATATGTTTTAACCTGCTTCCTTTAGATGTTTTTTTGACATTCTCATACTTCGTATTGCATCTCAAAAGTTTGAGAGGAATAACTTCCTTTCTGCATAAAGCAAACTTGGGGAAAAATGTAGAGAAAAAAACTCTTTAATTCTTTTTGCTGCAACAAATTCGATAAGCTTTCATAATCTTGTTTTGATTACAAGAGCTTCAGAACATCTTTGTAAATCTTTTTAAAATTATGGAGAGGTTCATACTGTTTTGCATCTGACAGGAAACTTGATCAAAATTCTGAAAAATTTCAGATTTTTTTTTTTGCAGAAGGAACCAAGTTCTGCTTAAAGCTTTCTGTGCCAGATCACAACTTCCAGAACTTCTGAGCACGACCATGACGTACAGTAGATTCACCATTAGGTAGTGTGTGAAACTCTTTAGTTATTTACATGATTACCTTTTGCATTTGATGTTATCTCTCTCAAATCCCATGTTTTTTTTTAATTGGGAAGACGTCCCCGTAGTCTGTTATGCACCAGGAAAGGTGGAGGGGGCGTTAATACAGGTTGCAACTGAAAACTATCTGGTAAAGTTCCTTTGAATTCAGAACTGGGTGATGAACCACCACCACACAAACTGTAATGAGATGCCTTGGGCTTTCTCAGTCTGAAATTCTGTGTCCAAATAGTATTGATTGGTGGATCACTTACCTGCTGCCAATACTACACTAGGTGAAGGAAGCAAGAAAAAATGTTCTTTTTCCATGAAAAAAAAAACTAGTTCAAAGCTTCTGTCAATTAATAACTTTTGTGTAATGCTGAGTAAGTTTGATGTGTGATAATCTTTATAACTGATCACATTTGATTCAGAATAGCTGACCTCCTCTATACATAATATACACAATTCTCCTTTTTTTTTTCTTTTTTTTTTCCTACAAATTTTAAATGTGTGTATATTTTGTTCAAATAGGCTTGCGAATACCTATGTTAGGTGAGGAATCATTATTAGGGTTTTAACATTGTTTATTCTTCATTATTCATGCTTTTGTGGAAATCATATATCCACTGTTTTGATGACCTTAGCTTCCTAAAGGGGAGTCTCATTTCATGGTTCAAAAATCGTCTAATATTTGTTTGTATATGATAAATGTAATATGCTAATAATAAAAAGAGCTTTTCCAAACAGCCTGTCCAGTACTCCAATTCAAATGTTTCCAGTGTTTTTTTCTTTTTCTATCATTCTTAAATAGAAGTAAAGTAAGCCAAGGTATTATTCAATTATAACAAATCAATAGAAACACCTAATTTTATTACAAGAAACCTTCTGCATACCTTCTGTAGGATATGACCCTTAGTAAGTATGTTTTGTTTCAAGGTAGCTCATCATTCCATAATAAATAATGGACGAAAGTGAAGATTTGGCTGAACACCTGCTCACTGAATATGCCATACAGCTCAGCATTCAAGAATCAAACACAGCCAAGCCACCAGGATCTTCCAGCTGTAACGACAGGTACTGTGAATTCAGTACACACAGGAACAAATTATGACGTATTTGTAGAGTGCTTTGACACTGCTGTGGCTTTAGTGCTTTGTGCTAAGTCTTCAGTGCTTTCCCCAAAAGATTTCTTAGTGTGGCCATTACATGTCTCTCTCAATAAAGCATTGTCTGAAGCAATGATGAAAAGATGTAAGCAGAATAAAATGTGGGGTTTTTTTCCTCATAAATTTCTAAAAGATCAACTTTAAAAGACAAGAACACCTGAGTTGTTAGTTACACATTTGCTTATTCCAGCCCTTCCATGAACATTCAAACTGTTCATACAGCAAAAACCTAAACTAAAATAACAAGAAAAACCCTCAGGAATGATCGCAGAAGGATCCATACCTGATCTTGTTTAAGAGCAGTTCCTTTGACAAGAAAATGTGACCTCTGCCAAGCCATTCAGTATGGCAAAAATTACCTGTTGGAGATCTTCAGAGATCTGTGCTCTATGGGCAGCATTCTGCAATGTGGCATCTGTGCTGAATTGCCTTCTAGAGCAACAGGTCTCTTGAGAGCTCACGGAGAGAATTTAGGAAGATTAAATTCACCTGGCTAAACTAAACTAATACTTCTAGTTGTTATTTTAGGCCATTTGCATTCTTTTAAAAAGTATAGTTTTGAAACAAAACATAGTCTTAAGATAATTCTTTGGCAGAAATACTGTAAATGAGGGACTCCTATTTTAAGATTGAAGTCTCTCTTTTTACTGAAGGTTCTCATTAAAACCTTCAAATTTTTTTTCTAGTCTGGTTATTATGATGTATTTAGCACCTAAATAACTCAGCAGCAAACACGAGTTCAACTAGTTCGACATTCTATTACATGCAGGTTTAAATGATACTGTTAAAAATATTGACAACTCATTTTGTCAATATTTTGACAAAGGGAAAATCATAACATTTATGCCATCAAGCTCTCTTTCATTAATGAATATTGATGCTTTTGTGCCCTCAAATTATCATTTACTATCAAATGTTGCTGAATCTCAAGAGGTTTCTTCAGGTGGCAGATACTCTTTTTAGTCTATTTCTGTTCCAAATTAGAAGATTTGTCACTTCACAACTCCTTCTGGGATCTGCTATGCCACCAGAGTGGGAGGGAGGGAAAGGACCATGAAAAATACACTCTGGAGATTCCTCATGAGGTCAGTTTGCAACATGAATTGCATCTAATTTGGGAACTCTGTTTTTTTTTGAAGTTCCACTAACTAAAGAAGTCACAAGGCAAATCTAGGTTGCAACTAATGTATTTGGAGGAAAGCAGGCTCAGATGAGAAGCAAATGGCAAACTGAATAAATGATTTCATATAATGCATCTACTATTTGCATCTCGTATATTCTGCTTTTTTTTTTCTTTTTTTTTTTGATAGATTTTTACCACCTAGTGAGGAAAACAGGAAAATTGTAACAGCCATAAAGCAAGGTAAACCTCCTAAAATAAAATAGGCCTTATGCAAAATTCTGAGCTTTCAGCGTATTCTTTTCAACTGTATCGTTTATCTTTTATCTTTTTTTTTTTTAAGGTGAAGTTTTTGGGCTCCAAGACCTTGTGAAAAAGAAATATGCTTTGGATGAAGCTGATGATAGAGGGTGGTTCCCACTGCATGAGGCTGCAACTCAGCCAATTCAGCAAATACTTGAAATCATTTTGGATGGTGAGTAAAGATGTCACACAAAACCCAAGACAATGGGAGCAGCAAAGAAACAAAAATAAGCAAGCATGCACAGAAACAGGCTAGAATGAATAATAAAGAAAGTAGGAACATATTCTTCCATGGAGTATCTTGCTACGTTCTATAAATATCAGTCAAATTTTGGTTTGGGGAGGTCACATGAATTTACAGGAGCAAAGAACATGGATAATTTTGTAAGGCTTTGTTCAAAAATCTACAGATAGGGAAAGCAAAAATTACTCTTCAATGTAATCTTCAGTAGTTCATTGTGGCAGTACTAGTTGGATTAAGTTAAGCATAAGTAATTTTCATAAAGATTTAGCATATAAGAATTTCTGATGTATATCAATGTCCTAGCAGCCTCATGCTTTACTTTTATCTTTTTTTTTCCCTTTTATTAACTCTAGCATCTTATAAAACCATGTGGGAATACAAAACATGTGATGGAGAAACACCATTAACTTTGGCAGCAAAAGCTGGCTTTGTGGAAAATGTGAGAACATTACTGGAAAAGGGTGTTTGGCCAAATACCACAAATGACAAAGGAGAAACTCCACTTCTTATTGGTAATTGCATCCTTTCCCCGTGTTTAAGCAAAAAGAAATGTAGTTCTTCTCATCAGCTAGACTGGCACATCCATTTCTGCAGACTCAAGAACTGACTCTTAACAAGGGGAATTTAGGCCCATTTTTGCAAATCCTTATAGCTGTGAATAATTTCTGCTGATCTAAATACTCCTGTTGGCTTGTATTTACAATGGTGACCATCTTTTTAGATGAAAATAATACCCAACACTTTGTAAAATGTGCCCAGCATTCCGTCTACACTAGTTATGCCCTAGGTGATCACCAAGCTGAGATTTTGCTCCTAAAGATACTCTTAAGAGACTGATACTAGTTTATTTTCTTCAAGACAATTTCTCCATGCATTCAGATATCTTAAGGCCTTTAGCAGCTGGGTCCTGTGTATCTTAAGGTATGAGTACTGAAGAAAATAGGCTGCTGCTTAAACTTTCAGGCCTGTAATTTATACTGAATATTTTTATTTCTATTGAATGATTTCAAAATCAACAAGCTCATTTCTCTCCCTCTTATATTGAAAATGAGTTTCAACTACATTGCTAAACAATACCTCAGGAAAAGTGGTTCTTTTAGAAGATTTTATGCAGCAGATAGAATTAACTGTATCTTATCATATAAGAGTAATTTAGCTGTATCAGATTCCAGTTCCTGTTGAAAATGGAAATCTATTCATTTTTCTGAAAATAAATTACTACAATTCTAATTTACTATGTAACAAAATACTATTATACCAAGTAAGAAAATACAATATATAATATAAATATCAGTATTGAAATGCTCAGTTCTCTGAGCTGTTTTTGACTTTGATTCAGATGCAATTAATGTATTGAAATTTTAGGGCCCTAAAGCATTTTAAGGCCCTAAAGAGACTTCCTTTACAGCTGTTTTAAGCCTGAAACTTTTACACTATTTTCATCCTTTGCTATTTGAATCCTGAAAAGAACAACCAGCACTAACTGAAAGAATGACAATTTATTTCCATAAACATTACCTTATACAAACTCCTAAATATTAAGTTGACAGCTATCTTTGTGCTGAGATGTGCTATCATGTATTTCAGTCTTAGACTCAGCATAACAGAAAGGTTAAGCACTTAATAGATGATATTCAGAATTAGTTTTGATTTAGTTACCCATTTGAATGCTAAGACTGGTATAAGGGGTTCTTCAGTACACATGAAGGTAAATGCTGAACAAGTATTTAGTGGGATAACTTCTGCTTTCAGGCTCATTCAGTAATACTCTACTGGATAATTTTGTAGACTGTTGCCTCTTCAAAACTTTTGACTTGTATAGAGGGACACTCGCAAAAGTTAAATTTGCTAATCTTGGGTGCTGGTTTCTCTCAGTTCTGTCATCAGTCAGACCCACTGTTCCAATGGACAGATCGGAAGTGAAATTAGACTCTTACTCTGGATCTTTTGCGCAAATCCTGTTGCAGTTATCCTTGAAAACTTCAAACTGGGAATCTCAAAAAGACAGAATGTGGCCTCTAAAAATGACAGGTCTCAGTTGTACTTTGACTAATAGCAGCCACAGAGCACACTCTAGGATTAGAGACAGCAGATGACTAAGTTAAAATGTACTTTTCTAGCAGGACTGTAATGTTTGTACCATCATTAAAAGCAAAAGTCTGCTCTAATATTGTATTATTGTTGCTTTTTCTTTCTGTAAGTCACTTCTCTCTCGGAATCTAACTTACGCTGGTTTTGCCCCAGATATTCAAAACTGACATAATTTACAGATTATGGTATTTTATCTTGATTTCCTGATATCACCATTTACTTATCAATGAGTTTGATTCTCAGATTTCCAGAATGGGAAGTATTTTTAACTTCCTTATATCAGTACAGAAAAACAAAACTAAACAAAACCAACTATTCTAGACTTACTAAATCATCTTTTAACTTTGAAGACAGTATGTCTAAAAGTTTAATTGTATTATTTTCTTCCCTTTTTAATATTTTCTAGCTGTAAGAAGGCGCTCTTTTCAAATGGTGTCTACTCTGATTGAACATAACTGTCATATCCACCAGCCGTGTGTGAGACGTTGGTCAGCAATGCATGAAGCTGCAAAACAGGGTTGCAAAGATATTGTTTCTCTTCTGCTGAAGAATGGTGGAAATGTGAACCTTAAGGATGGATATGGGGTAACACCATTAGGTGTTGCTGCTGAATATGGTCACTGCGATGTGCTGGAGCATCTTATTCATAAAGGTATATAGTCAGGTTAAAAAAAACGCACCTGGATATGTATTGTCTGTAGGTAATTTGGCCCGATTTTTGTGATGAGCTGCAAATTAATTGGGATATAAAAATAAATTCCCTCTCCTTCAAGGTGGAGATGTCCAGGCCTTAGCAGATGACGGTTCATCGATACTGTTTGAAGCTGCTGGAGGAGGGGATCCAGACTGCATAGCACTTCTGCTGGAGTATGGAGGAAGTGGCAATGTGCCTAATAAGGCAGGATTGCTTCCCATACACAAAGCAGCTTATGAGGGACATTACCTGTGAGTATGAGCTCAGGCTTCACGTTTTCTTTAAGACACTCTGTGACTCAAGGTCAAATTGAGGAAGACTGTGTTAAACATGGAAATGTACAGACCATTTATATTTCAGAAGCACCTCTGTTACACTGAGCCCTGGAACAGGCTGCCCAGAGAGGCTGTGGAGTCTCCTTCTCTGGA